AACCGACCAACCATCCTGTCCGACCACTAACCAAAAACCGACCAACCATCCTGTCCGACCACTAACCAAAAACCGACCAACCATCCTGTCCGACCACTAACCAAAAACCGACCAAGCAAAGCACAAAACCAATTCATCCAGCGAATCATGTCCGTCTGTTCGCAGGTTTTACTTGGCCTGAAATAATAATCACCAGCCTTTGTGGTTTACTTTTACTTGCTTCCATTGTCATGGTAACCATAACGTGCTGCCGAATCACGCGGAGTGGTCGTCGTAGAAAATACAAGTATACCAACCAAATAACAGACGTGGTTGAAAACACCACTGTTGTTTATCGAAGTGAATGCGAAGGTGAGCCTTCTGCTGTCAGTCCGTCATCATCGCCCTCTTGTAGCAATGAAACGGAAGAAGTTACCCCGGATAAACATTTTGTGTCAGTTTCAGTACAAACAGAATGTACGGCGGATGATTACGTGCCAATGATGAGCGAATTCAGCTGTCAAAGCAAAGATGGTGTTGTTTTAGGTATTCAAAAGTCGAAAAGCAGCAAACGAAGGCGTTACATGCCTTTGAAAAGAGGCTCGAAGTACTTAGTGCACTTATACACAAAATTGACAAAAGAAAGAAACTCACACTTCATGGAGAATGCAACGTGGAATGCAGCCCAACATAACAGACACTCGACCGCTAGTTCGAAATACCAAGACATCGACTCGGAGGAAATCATTCAAATTTGTCAGCGGAAGTCAGTTGGTGATGATTATCAAACGATTGATTCAGATGATGATTTTGAAAGTGTTTACTTCAAGGTAATCGACCCTTGTGACCATCTAGAGTATGTAGCCATTTTACCCGATGATGACAACCATTATCTTGTGCCAGTTGACGACACGGTACCTGACACCTCTAATACTTATAACGCTGAGCTGCCACACCCACCTCTGAATATCGAAGGTACAGATTCCGAGCAAGCTGGCCCTTGTTATCCTCCGGAGTCAATCATGAATTCCCAACAGCATGCATACAGCTATTGGATTAATCAACTTAAATTGCCACCCACTTTATTGCAATCAGTTGATGAAAGACTTGAGCCAAACAACCATGATGTATACGATGCTATTGAATCAGATTATAACGTCCCCAACCAGTTCACAAAAAACAATGCACTCGATAAAAAAACCGACTCTCAGCCTTGCAGAAGCACACAAAGAACTGGTGAAACAAACCCTGATCTGATGGGCAGCCAATCAAACAACACAGAAAACCAAAGCGACAAAGAACAGGATGAAGAAAAAGTCAAACCAACAGCGTTTGCGTTGGCTTTAGAACAAATATTGAAAGAGAAAACTGACAGAACAAAAGTCTCTAAAGGTATTGTTGAACCGCATGACGAGGAGCACGATTATGAAAATATCGAATTACAAAAGGATGAGAATGATAACATAAAGCCATCTCATCCCGCCGACTCCAGCCCGTACGAGTCTCTCGGTGACCTCAAGAGTTGTGGCTACGAAGACGAGGTTGACTTTTCCGTTGTGAGAAGAATTCCTATTTTGCCACCGTCGTGCAAGTTACGTATGAATCGCGAGGATCATGACGACTGATCTAGTTAAGACTGCCACATCAATATAATATCTCCTATGCTAAAATACCATTTTCGAATGRATGCTACGACCAATGTCTTTTTGGTTTGTCGAGAGTAAGTAGATAAATTCACGATTCAATAACATCATACAAAATCTTCAAATAACGATAAAATATAGAGCGGAGGGGATGGGTGCGCATACTCGGCGCCCTGGTAAACACATGTAGTCTTTTGTCGCTCGTTCAACGCTCTCAGAAATAAAATGAAGTCAAAAACGCGTGAAAAAGGTAATAGACTTAAGTACGCTCTAATTGTTTTCTTTTGTGTCTCTTTACGTGGGCTTCCTGTGGAAGACCACGTCTAAAAATGCAAGTGGACTTTTCTTCATCATGAATATTATGCTTCAAATTGGTAGCGCCTGCGTTGCAGATGGTCTGCAGTCTCAGTTTCCATGGAGTTGTCAATCTAAATCAATCAGCGATTTGTTTTCATTTTTAACATGTATTTTTTTTGTACGTCAGTCGGCCTAGTGATCGCGATATCTAAGGCTTCACTGTGACCAGCCATGAATGTAAATCATACGACAAAAAAGCAAAGGCTCGAGTAGTACTTAGTTTAGTTCGGTAAAAAATTAAGATGTAATAAAGATTTCTTGAATTCTGTCTTGAACTATTTCAAACAAATCGTGACTATCGTGAAAATGAAATACGTATAACTTAATGGCGGCAGCTGACCATTGTCACAGCTACAGGAAGCCCACGTAAGCGATCCATGATCGTCTAGTTGACTATAAATTTAATA